TCTCTGTAAAGTTTATTTGAGAATACCTTTCAAAGACGTAGAATTCCGGAAAAGCGTCTGGCGCATGGGGACTGCTTCTCCTGTTTCTAAATGACTCCCACCTGTGCCCTCATCTGCTCCATGATCTCGGCTATGGTTATGGACTCCCCGTGAGTCATCCCTGGGCTCTCTAGCAGACCTGTTGAGTACAGAAGAGTTGTTACAGATGTAAGATATTAGCAGTTCGCACTATTATGTACAGCTTCATCTATTCATATCCACAGCTAAAATGAATAACAGGAGGACCTGGCAACAAATCTGACTGACCTGCGTTTATGCAACGCCTGACCTCGGCTGCCTCATACATGAGACCTTGACTGTTATTGAAGTTGTAGGTCTGACCTGTCACTGGCAAGGGCGCAGTGTACGTCCCAGAGGGCGATTCGAAGGATTCAGGACACCACATCGGGTAATTGACCTGCAGAAAAAACAAAGCCTATGTAATTTTATAAAGTACATCCTCTTTTATAGCCCATACCTCATCTGCTAGAAGGCCAAATATTTTTTGCCCGATGATAATTTATAACAAGGCTATTTGGATCTTGCTTCCTTGGTGAACCAAACAAGTTAGTCCAGATGAAGCAGCCACCCCATCCACTCTAGGGCCTGAGAAAAAGGAAATAATCCAAGATCACGTCCCTCAGTCACATGCGGCATCTAACCCAGGGTCCCTTTTGGCAGCACGCACACACACACACACACACACACACACACACACACACACACACACACACACACACACACACACACACACACACACACACACACACACACAGATACATGCACTGTAAGAGGCTGTGAGTCCACTCGTGCCCTTCGATCATATTAGGATGTGCTCTGTCTCAGGGCTGAAGGGTAGTCATGGAGGTTTAACGGCTTAACTCTATTATTTTAGAAGAGTACAACACAGTAAATAATCTGGATGTGTTGTCGGGGAGCAAGCACGAAGTGCTGTGTGTCGTGTCCGGTCAGCCAGCCCTGGGGGCTGGAGGCTAAACGAGACCTGGGCACGGTGATTTCTGGAGGCGAACTGACTGATCAGACGAAGTCAGCTATAATCGCCAGATATACCTGTCTCTCTCTCTCTCTCTCTCTCTATATATATATATATACATATATATTTTTCTTTCTTTCTTTCTTTCTTTCTTTCTCTTTCTCTTTCTCTCCCTCTTTCTCTCTTTCTCTCTCTAATATAGAACACTTTAATAACTTCTTTGCAGAAACAGGCAGACACACTTTTGAACAGACAACCGCCCCCACATATCAACACAACATAAACGGAATGAATACTACAACAAACTTTTTCAGACCGCAACCAGTTGGAGTAGATACAATCATCCTGACAATAAAACACTTAAGAAAGACAAATTCCGTGGGAGCAGATGGAATTGCACATCGTTTCATAAACGATAGTTTACCAGCAATTGCTTACTATCTGACAGTAATCATTAATACATCTATAGTCACTGGTGTTTATCCATCACTTTGGAAACACGGCATCATAACTCCTATTTTCAAATCCGGTGACAGAGACGAAATTAATAATTATCGACCCATCACTATACTGCCAGTAATATCTAAAGTTCTCGAGAAAATAGTTGCAAACCAATTAACAGCATTTTTAGAAGCGAATAACCTTATATCTAACACACAACACGGTTTTAGGAATAAATTATCAACCGAAACGGCATTACTAAAAGTCACAAATGAAATTTATAATATAGACAACAACCAGATTAATTTGCTCACTCTATGTGATCTATCGAAGGCCTTTGACAGTGTCAGCCATGAATTACTTGTAAACAAACTAACAAACCACAAAATTTATAATTTTTGGTTGAAAAGTTACCTGTCCGCGAGACCGCGAGAACTCAATCACTCAAAATCCATGAAAAAGTATCATCAAAGCAATCAGTTTCGTTCGGTGTTCCACAAGGCTTCATCCTTGGCCCAATCTTATTCATTATATTCATAAATGATTTATCATCAATTGCAAAAAACTGTCTTCTTGTTCAGTATGCCGACGACTCTCAATTCCTTCACGCTGCCTCTGTAAACAATCTAAATGAACTGATAGAAAAGACCAAACAGACCCTAACCGAAACAAAATAATACATCGATATGAATGGCCTGAAACTAAATCCACAAAAAACAATGTATTTTCATAGGCAGCCGTCAAAGCATAGCAAATATACCCATAGATACTGTTATAGATTTCAAAGGTTGCTACATCAAACCTGACACAACAGTAAAAAACCTGGGGGTACACGTAGACAGATACATGACTTTCGAAACACACATTGACCACATCTACTGGAAAGTAATGGGCACAGTGATATACTTAAATCACATAAAAAATAAAATACCCACAGAAACAAGAATTGCTGTTATACAAACACTAGCACTTAGTATCCTTAATTACAGTCTAAACATCTGGGGCTCCACAAACAAAAAACACAAATACAAAGGACACAGAAACTACAGAACTTCGCGGCAAGAGTGGTAATGGGAAATGTTAATAAATATGACCACATCACTAAAACTAAAATGGCTAAAAATACAACAGAAATGCAAATATGACACGTGTATTCTGATCCATAAAATAATACAAGGAAACTACCCAAATTGGCTATTACCTATACAAACAACAGGTAACATAACAGGTGTCCTTACAAGGCAAAATAACTCCTAATATATCAAAAGATCGAATACAGATACCGGGGTAAGAAATATGCAAATCCGAGGACTGGTGATCTGGAACCAACTACCTGAAAATATTAGAAATATCTCCAACCAAAAGACATTTAAAACAAAAGTGAAAGAACATCTACTGAAATATCAATGACATAAGGCGTTTGAACATCAAGCCAAGTACGACATTTCAGTCATCTGTGATACTAATGTTCTGTCTAATCTTGTTAAACAGGCATTGTATAATGTCTATGTATATAACATCCTATTGCATAATGTAATCAACATGTATATAAATGGAATACCCATTGTAATTAATGGAATAAGGTGTTTGAATTGGAATTTGAATTTGAACTCTCTCTCTCTCTCTCTTTCTTTCTTTCTTTCTTTCTTTCTTTCTTTCTTTCTTTCTCTCTTTCTCTCTTTCTCTCTTTCTCTCTCTCTATATATATATACCACTATATCTCCCTCTATATATATAAGTGTTCGACGGGGAGCAGCGGGTTGCACCAAACCAGATAACGCCAAAGGCTCTAATGACTTCTCGATCTCAAGGTTTTTGCTTGGGTGGTTTAAAGAGATGTACTGGACCCGCCCCATAGCAAATTCGGCCTTGGCCCTTGCACGTTAGCCTGGCGTTTTTACTTTCACCCTTCGTTGCGGCCGCGATGCTAATTGATTGCATTTAGCTTCGTGCCCTCTAGCCAATTCTTTCCTCTACGGATTTTTCGGCATTAGGATATCTTTCTGTGCACCTTCTGGTGAACTGAACCCCATCTTCGGGCGCGTGATCGTACTTAGGCAGACCTTTACCTCCTGCAGGGGAGGGTGTGTCTGGGGGGCCTTAGTGTGCCTGCCTTACGGTGTGCAGAGTTACCATTCTATTTGCTAGGGACTGGTATGGCAGACCATCTAATGACTGCCACTCTAGTTTTTTCGCATAGGAATGAATAGGCAGGTAAGAGCCCTTCCCTTTCTGAGGCCCTCATTCTGGTTTTGTCTAATTAGCTCCTGCAAGACAAAACATCGTTTTCCTGTAGTTCCTCTCCTCCCTCACTGTGGTGAATCAGCCTTTGGGTGGCTGTTTCAGAGGGATGAAGGATCTTCCTTGAATAGGTTCAGGACCTCTCTTCCCTTACTGAGGTGAAACAGCCTTTGGGTGGCTGTTTCAGATGGAAGAGGGATTTACTTTGAAAAGGTACAGGTCCTCTTCTCCCTCACTGAGGTGAAACAACCTTTGGGTGGTTGTTTTAGAAGAATGAAAGGAAAAAGTACAAGAGCTCCCTTCCCACACTGAGGTGAAACAGCCTTTGTGTGGCTGTTTCAGAGGGATGAGCAAAAGGGTTCCAAACGATGATGTCCCGTAGGTGGAAGGGCATCCCCTCTGGTTTCTCCCCAGTGGTTTACACCTATCCACGTGTTTCCCATGCGGGGCAGCCTTGTGCACTGTGGAGACGGGAGTCCTGGAGGTTGAGCGATGCTGTGAATGAGTACACCCTGCAGCTAGCAACACACCTCTTTGGTCCTCTATTATAGCAAGATAGGTGGCCTGATCCTGGCCCGGTCACGCCAATCGGCTGGTCTCCTTCTGGAGGCTAGGGTCAAGCAGTCATGCCGCCGTTGGCACTCACACTGGTCCGTGAGTACCGTTACAATGGCTATTGGCTGCATATATCTTATCACCCCTCAAATATTCGGTTTCCCCTGTTGACGAGTCATGCAAGGCCTTGAAGCCATATGTACCTCCTGGTGGCAAAAGAAAACCCCATGCACAGGATGACTTTGTCACACCTGCTGCCAAGATGGATAAGACAGAGAAACCATCAGCCACTAATATGTCTGTCCATCAGATTGTCCAACAGATGGACTCTCTTGCTGGCCTCTCCAGGCCTGCAGCCAAGCCAGGGAGGCCTCTGAGTTCCCCTCAGATGTCCTCCCTGACAGAGATGGGAGCACAAGCTGAACCAGCTGAATCAGCTGCTCCCCCCGCGAGCAAAGCCCAAAGCCGAAAGGGCGGGCCGAAACGTCCGAGGCCGGAGATAGACTCTGAGGGAGAGTCTGGACCCCTTAGGCGTTTCCCCCAGTTTAAAGTTCCCTCTAAACCCGAAGGCTTCGACAATCCCTACCAACTGGTCAGGGCATTGGAGATGCAGCAAAAAATACGGTTGTCGATCTGGGTTGCCAGAGACCAGGGCATGATCATTCTGCCCAAAGACCAAGCTACCCTGAATTTCCTGCAGGAAACGAAGGAGCTGAATGATGGGAGGAAAGTGAGTCTCTCACCATTGAATCCCAAGGATAAGAGAGTAAAGATGGTACTACTTGGCTTCTCAGTCTCATATGATGTGGAGCTGATCACATCACATCCACAGGTCGTGGAAGCTTCCCGAATGTTGAAGACTCCAACCAGGCAAGTCCTGGTGACCTTGAAAGAAGCCCCAACCACTACCCTTGATCTGGGTAACTGGGGCACCTACAACCTAAAAACATATGAGTCTGAGCCACTTCGGTGCTTCAAGTGCCAGAAATATGGTCACCACCAGGCTAGCTGCACAGCCAAGCCTAAATGTGGTGTCTGTAGCAAGGCACACAACACCGAGGTGTGCCTTAAGGCATGCAAGGAAGAAAAGAGGGACACAACAGCCAAATGTCCCAAATGTGCCAAAAGGCATCACGCCTGGAGCCTGGCTTGCTCTGTCAGGAAAGAGGTGGCCCTCAGGCTACAAG